AAAAAAAAAAAAAAAACCTGCTCTGGGGGCTGGGAAAGTGGCTCAGTGGTAGAGTGCTTGCCTTACATGCATGAGGCCCTAGATTCAATTCCTTAGCACCACAGAAGCAGGAAAAAAAGCCGGAACTGGTGCTGTGGCTCAAGTGGTAATGCACTAGCCTTAAGCTGAAAAGCTGAGATCCTACCTACAAAATAACCAATGCAGCCAGGGCACTAGTGGTTCACAAGCTACTCAGGAGGCTGAGATCTGATGATCGAGGTTCAAAGCCAGCCTGGGCAGGACTCTTATCTACAATTAACCACAGAAAGCCAGAAGGAGTTGTGGCTCAAGTAGTACAACGCTAGACTTGAGCTCAGGGAGAATACCTAGGCCCTGAGTTCAAGCCCCAAGCCCTGCAACAAAAAAATGTACAAAGGGACTGGAAGCCTGGCTCAAGGGATAGAGTACCACCAGCCTAGTAGTAAGCATGAGGCCCTGAATTCAATCCACCACACCACCAAAAAAAAAAAAAAAAAAAGGGAGCTAGCACACAAAGCAGTGACCCAGTAAAAAACCAATTATTATTCTTTTTTTTTGTTGTTGTTGGTCGTGGGGCTTGAACTCATTATTCTTATTTTTACATATTCACCACTACATTTTCTGACCCAGAGTACAAAAATAAAGACTTCATGTTTGTTTCTATAGTTCCAAACACTAACAGCAGAACCCAGGTATCTGCAATCATTCCTGTGAGATAAGTAAGATGGATTCCATTTCTCAGAAGAGGAAGAAGCAAAAGCTCAGAGCAGAAGATTCAGGTTCAATGGTACTAAGTATTGGTTCAATGGCATTAATGACTACAGCCCTTATCTTAGGTAAAAAACTATAGTTGTCACTAACAATTTTTACTTGCAGCTGGCCACTGGTGGCTCACACCTGTAATCCTACTCAGAAGGCTGAGGTCTTTGAGATCTCAGCCTCCTGAGTAACTAGGATTACAGGCATGAGCCACAAGAGCCAGGCTCTGAGTATGTGTTAATACAGATATGACAGAAATAGGCTGTCAGTTCTGATAAATAGGTGGCTAGAACCTAATTATAGACCTACTATGTGGACATCTTTATCTTCAATTAACCAGCAAAATGCCAGAAGTAGAGCACCAGCTGTGAGCAAGAAAGCCTAGTGACATTATGGAGCCCTGAATTCAAGACCCATTATCAGCATTAAAAAACAAAACAAAATAAAACCAAAACTGGTGTGTGGGTGGCCCCCACCCAGGCAAGAAAAGTCCCAGACTCTCCAATTTACCCCCAAAGGCAGGGAGTAGAGGTGTGGCTCAAGTGACAGAGAGCAACAACCTTGAAGCTAAGGGGCAAGCCCAGGCCCTGAGTTCATGAACTCAGGCCCCAGTACTTCAGTTCAAATAACTTTTAAAACTTAGCAATAATTTAGTAACAGGGTTAAAAAGTAAGGAAAAAAGGAGAAGAGAAACATTTCCTGCTTATCATGCAGAAAACTTAAGACTCCTCAAGCTGGGTACCAGTGGCTAACACTATACTGTAATCCTAGCTAGTCAGGAGGCTTAGATCTGAGGATCAAGGTTTGAAGCCAGATGGAACAGTAAAGTCTGTGAGACTTTTATCTTCAATTAACCACCCGAAAACCAGAAGTGGTGCTGTGGCCTAAGTGGTAGAGCACTAGCCCTAAGCTGAAGAGCTCAGGGACAGCGCCCAGTCCCGAAGTTTAAGCCCCATGATGAACAAAACAAAAAAAATAAAATAGCTGGGCGCTGGTGGCTCACGCCTGTAATCCTAGCTACTCAGGAGGCTGAGATCTGAGGATCACGGTTCAAAGCCAGCCCGGGCAGGAGAGACCGTGAGACTCTTATCTCCAATAAACCACCAGAAATCCAGAAGTGGCGCTGTGGCTCAAGTGGTAGAGCGCTAGCCTTGAGCTGAAGAGCTGAGGGACAGCGCTCAGGCCCAGAGTTCAGGACCCATGACCGGACCCAAAAATAAAAAATAAAAAGAAAGAACATTCAAAAAAAACATGTAACGATTACTTAATCCAGTGAAAAACTTCCTGCCACTGTAATATACCTTCCTACAAATGAAAAGGACTTAAACTGTGTCATGCAGACATGTACCTGGTCAAACAACTGGAGAAAAACATACCCTAATTTTTTAAGTCCAGATTAAGAAAGTAAAGGGAAGCCAGGAGTCAGTGGCTCATACCTGTAATACTACTCAGGAGACAGATCTGAGGATCTCAGTTCAAGAGTAAAGTCTGTGAGAATCATCACCCATTAACCAGAAAAAGCTGGAAATGGAGCTGAAGCTCAAGTGGTAGAGTGTTAGCCTTAAGCTGGAAAAAACTAAAGGGCAGTGCCCAGAACCTGAGGTAAGCTGGAGTATTGACACCAAAAAAGAATAAAAGGAGGTATCCAATAATAATGACCAGCTCATTCAATCCCTTTCAACAAGTATCTATCTATCATACTGTATTTCTAAGACACCTAAACTAACAAGTATTTCAAGGAGAGTTGAAGGCACAGCTTACTATTAACCCTTCCAGGATAGGTTAGGAATGATGGGTGACAATGTTGTCAGACACTTTGTATTCATATACTGTTTTGTAGAATGGGAACTTCTTTGTATTTAAAGATAATAATAAAAATGCTAAAAAATATTAACCCTTTCAACTAATTGAAAATTATCTAAAAATGTCTGACTTTTTATAAACAAGTGCACCTGTTAATTTAGGTAAATAGCTGCAGTTTCGGGTGCCATTTTTTTTTTTAAGTTTAGCTATTCCCAAGTACGGTTAATGTCTTAGAGGCATAATGAAGAGAGAGCCACATGAAATTACACAAAGGTTTTTCCTAAATCCGTTTGATTTTTAATTGATTATACACAAAAAAAAAAACAGTTTAAAAAATCCCCACTGGGCAAGTACGCCAACCGTTTCAATTTCCTACAGCCTTATCTAGGCAACCAGGTTCCCCCCCCAATCTGCAACTTAATGCCCCAGGAGGTGACCCCCCTCCAGCTCACACACACTGCATTCTAGATGAGGTCCCGGTGCACCAACAGCCCAATTTTGGCGATAATCTCTGGGCGATTTAAGGAAGTCAGCAACCACTCCTTTCACGTGACCTTAACAAGGGGCGCAGCTGAGCCCGGAATAAACCACATTTTTTTTTTTTCCGGCATTAAGTTCAAGGCCCGGCATGAAGGAAGTGAGCGCGGAGGTGGCGGGGGGGGGGGGGGGGGGGGGGGGGGGCGGGGGGGGGGGCGCTGCGCCTTCTACTTCGCGGGGAGCCGGAGGCGAGGGGCACCGCCGCTCACGCGCACTGCAGCGCCTGAAAATAGAAGCCGGCCACACCCCCGGCCCCAGGGTCACGGCTTCTTCTACCTCTCTTTCCACGAGAAAAGGAGGCCCTTCTCCACCGCCGAACGCCCCACCACAGGGCTGTAACCGCCGGCACTCCGCACCCCAAAAGGTGAAGCCTCCGGAGCGGTGCGGGTGAGGTGGGGGTGGCGGGGGCAGGGAGGGCCGCGGCGACCGGCACCGCGCGCATGCGCAGACCCGGGTACCCGCCCGCTTACCCACCGTTGGAACAGCGAAGCCCAGTCCCCCGGCCTCGGCCGCTTCTCCAGGACCCGCGGCGACGGCAAAAGGGCGAGAACTGAGGCCCTAGCAGGCTCCGCGGCCAGCGAGTCTCTTCCTGAGGCGGCCGCTGGCGGAAAGATAGAGCGACGGCTGTGGCGCGGGGCCAGCCCGGTAACGACCCTCGGATATCCCCAGCGGCGGCGGCGGAGGAGACGCGGGAAAAGGGGCGGGAGCGGCAACCCAGGCAGCAGCTGAGGCGCGGAGCCTCCCTAACGGCGAGCGGGAGGAGAGCTCAGGGCGGAGGGCGGGTGGGGGCCGGACCGGACGTGACGTAGGGCGCAGGGGGGCGGAGCGGCCAGAACGCTGGCAGGGGGCGGGGCACGCCCTCGGGCGGGAGCCCTGGCAGCCCCGTCCCGGGAAGCTCCTCAGCTAGGGTGTCCGGGGCCTGGCTCGGGCCAGAGAGGGTTTTCTGGGAGCTCTCTGCGTCGGGAAGCCACAAAGGAGAAAGAGAAACTGGCGAGAGACATAAGAGAAATTAAGGGGAAGCCCAGCAGTCTGAGAGGGCGCCCCGTCCTTGCTGGGGCGGGGGAGTCATCCCCCTACTCCTCGGTACCAGCCTCCGGGGAGGAAGCTGGTGGGCCAGCAGGCCTAAGCGTTGTCGCTCGTTCCCATGTGGGTTAGCTGGGGGCTCTGAGCTGAACCTGTGGCCTGCCAGCTTCTCCGCGTAATCGAAGACTCCAGAGATCTTAAGAGAGGGTCCGGAAGTGTGGAAGTCAACCGACTTCCCATACTAACGGCAGCTTCAGGGGCCGAGGGGAAAGGAAACAATGAGTCCTCGAGTTGAGGAGTCTGTCCTGACTTGGATAGCTACACCAACCCTGCCACTAGCTCCCTCAGGCTTACAACCCTATGAATACTCAGCCCATCTCTTTCTGCATTAAGAGCTTGACACCTGTCTTTACCTCCTGGAGCCCGGTAAATCTTAGCTACTCAGGAGGCAAAGACCTCAGAATCACGGTTCAAAGCTAATCTGTGTAAGAAAATCCGTGGGACACATTCTTCAGTTCACCACCAAAAAGCCAGAAGTGAAGCTTTGGCTCAAGTGGTAGAACACCATCCTTCAGCGAAAATGATAAGGACAGCATCGAAGCCCAGTCTTCAAGCCCCAGTACTGGCTGAGAGAGAAGACAAACTCTGAACGTCAACATATAAACCACCACAATTCAAATGTCCCTACCTACTTGTGCTGGAAGCCAGTAACGTGGAAAGCGTAAAACAAGAATCTTCACAAAGCTTGGGGGAAGATTTATAAAAGATAAAGTCACCCTATGAGATGATCACTAAAGAGACCATGGTGGCTCCCAGGTTTCATCAGAGAAACTTAAAAAAATCTAACCCAAGTGTCATATGCCAGGTGATGCTGTCATAACTGAAGGGTGGGGGTCCTTTTAGACAAAAAATCTAGAACCACAGTATCTGAATAAGAATCAGGCCAGGCACAGTGGCTCACATCTGTAATCTTAGCTATTCAGGAGGCAGAGATCTGAGGATCTTGGGGGCAGGAAAGTCCATAAGATTCTAACCTCCAATTAGTCATCAAAAAGCTGGAAATAGAGCTATAGTTCAAGTATTAGAGCACTATCCTGCTGAGTTAAGCCCCAGGACCAGCACCAAAACCAAAAGTAAACATCCCAATCTGTCCAGGAAAGAGGTGACTAATTTTGTTTGTTTTGCCAGTCCTGGGGCTTGAACTGAAGGCCTAGTCACTGTCCCTGAGCTGCTTTTTGCTCAAGGCTAGCACTCTACCACTTGAGCATAGCACCACTTCTGGCTTTTTCTGTGTATGTGGTACTGAGGAATCAAATCCAGGGCTTCATGCATGCTAAGCAAGTACTCTAACACTGAGCCAGCTTCCCAGTCCAAGGTAACTAATTTTAATAACTAGGACCAAATACGCATGACCAGAGCAACTAAAACTTTTAGTTTGAGCTGAACACTGCTGGCTCACACCTATAATCCTACCTACTCAGGAGGCTGAGATCTGAGGATCTCAGTTTAAAGCCAGACCTAGCAAGAAAGTTAGACTCTTATCGCCAATCCAATTAACCATCAGAAAACCAAAAGTGGAGCTGTGGCTCAAAAGTGGTAGACCACTAGCCCTGAGCACAAAAGCTCATGGATAGTGCGTAGGCCCTAAGTTCAAGCCCCACAACTGAAAAAAGAAAAAAAAAAACTCTTAGTTCAAGCTAGAGGTGTGTTTCAAGGAGTGCTAGGACCTAGGTTCAATCCCCAATAGAACCAAAGATAATTCAGTGCAGTGGGGATGAATAGTTATAGTGGGGGAGCACTTAACCAAGCAGTTGCAAGGCCCTGCATCTGATCATCAGCACTGCACTGGGGGGAGGGAGGATAGAGAAATAACACTCCAACAGACTGCTTACCTCTAATAGCCTTTTTATTTTTTTGCTAGGGCTTAATGAACCCAGGTCCTAGTTCTAAATATACCCTTTTATTTTAATTTTGTTTTTTATATAGAATCCCATAACTCAAGATCTTTTTGCCTTTGCCTACAAAGTAGCTGGAGTTACATGTGCCACCAACCATACCTGTTCTGGCCTCTTAAAAAAAAATCCTGGGGCTTTAACTCAGGGCCTGGGCATTGTTCCTGAGCTGCTTCTGCTCAAGGTTAGCACTCTACCACTTGAGCCACAGCACCACTTCCAGCTTTTTCTGTTTATGTGGTACTGAGGAATCAAACATAGAGCTTTGTGCATGCTAAGCAAGCACTCTACCAGTAAGCTACATTCCCAGCCCTGTACTGGCCTCTTAAGACACATAAGTCAGTAAAATCACTGCCTTCAGAAAGTGTATCTTAGCAGACCTAAATTCTGCATGTCCTTTCTAAACATAAATGACCTACACTCTGATTCCATACTAAATTATCCTTTTCATTACCCAAAAGATCTCTCAAAACAAGTAGAAGCAATTGCTTAAGGCACAAGAGTGACACTAATATTAGCTATACAATCTTTGGCAATAAATTCAAAGCATTATGTATAAATCAGCTTCCATTCACTGGGTTGAATAATAAGGTTGCTTTATCCAAATTAATTTCTCAGAGCCTGATTAAACTTGAGTAAAGTGACATGGAAGTCTCTGAATCTGCCACAGTGAGGTTTTATAGCATTCTGTGTATGTACTCTTTTTTTTTTTTGGGTCCGGTCATAGGGCCTTAACTCTGGGCATGGGCACTGTCCCTCAGCTCTTCAGCTCAAGGCTAGCACTCTACCACTTGAGCTATAGCGCCACTTCTGGCTTTTTTTTTTCTTATGTGGTGCTGGGGAATCGAACCCAGGGCCTCATGCATGGAAGGCAAGCGCTTTACCACTGAGCCATCTTCCCAGCTCCATCTGTGTATGTACTCTTATATCTCTCTTTAAACATTTTTTTTTTTTTTTTTCGGTTGTGGGGCTTGAACTCTGGGCCTGGGCGCTGTCCCTCAGCACTTCAGCTCAAGGCGAGCGCTCTATCACTTGAGCTACAGCGCCACTTCCGGTTTTATGGTGGTTTATTGGAGATAGGAGTCTCACGGTCTTTCCTGCCCGGGCTGGCTTTGAACCGCGATCCTCAGATCTCAGCCTCCTGAGTAGCTAGGATTACAGGTGTGAGCCACCAGCGCCCGGCTCATTAAACATTTTTAAATAGGCCGAGCACCAGTGGTTCATGCTTGTAATCCTAGCTACTCAGGAGGGTGAGATCTGGGGATCACAGTTCAAAGCCAGCCTGGGCAGGAAAAGTCTGTGAGACTCTTATTTCCAATAAACAACTCAGAAAACCGGAAGTGGTGCTGTGGCTCAACTGGTAGAGTGCTAGCCTTGAGCTGAAGAGCCTAGGGAAAGCGCCCAGGCCCAGAGTTCAAGCCTCATGACCGACAAAAAAAATTTTTTTTTTTTTAAATAGAAGTTTTGCCTGTGATTCCATGCCTGGAGAATAGGACATTATGGTTGCTTCAAAAGCTTAATCGTAAATAAAAATCATAAAAATAAATTCTAAAGGTAAAAAACTTTCCTGATCTCCCCCCTTCCTTAGGCAGCACAGACCCTTGTTGACATAACTATGCTAGAAACTTTGTAGACAGTATGTAAACTCCCAGAGGGCAGGACTTCCTTGTACTTATGTGCCCAAAGCCTGGGTTCTCAAAAATAAAGGAACTGATTCAGTGCCTTTCCCCCCTTGTAATATTGGAGAACACGTTCTTGGAAGATACATTTCTAGATCCTACTTGATAATGTAAAACCATATATTCAGCATTCAGGACTCTTAGATTATAATTGAAAAACAAAGACCAAAATGTCTAACATTTACCATCTCTTTACATCTGTACAGTGGAAATAGATATGTCAGAGAAAATTCTATGAATTCCTCTTAGGGAAGAGAAAATCCTATAGTGATTTGAGTCAAAAAGTGAAATTTTAGCTGGGTACTGGTGGCTCATGCTACTCAAGAGATTGATATCTGCACATCACAGTTTGAAGCCAGCCCAGACAGGAAAATCTATGAGACTTTAATTAACCACTAAAAAGCTAGATGTGGAGTTGTGGCTCAAGTGGTAGAGAGCCTTAAGCACAAAAGCTCAAGGATAGTGCTCAGGTAGGCACTGAGTTCAAGCCTCAGGACCAGCACACACACACACACACACACACACACGCATGCACGCACGTGAAAATTTTTACTCCAGCTGGAATCACTGCATTCTCTGGAAAGGAGAACATAGTCTTTTCTAGCCCTATTTAGTCGTCTTCCTCTCCCATCTTACTAACCAGAGCCAAAGGGTCCATCTCCACAATTACTTTAGTGAAATATGGGGAGAGGGGGAATCATAATAATTTGGTGCTTCAGTTAAAAAGTAGTTCTCAGTCAGGCGCTGGTGGTTCACGCCTGTAATTCTAGCTACCCAGGAGGCTGAGAGCTGAGGATCGCAGTTCAAAGCCAGCACAGGCAATAAAGTACATGAGACTTTTATCTCCAATTAACCACCAGGAAACCAGAAGTGGCACTGTGGCTCAAGAGGTAGGGCAGTAGCCTTGAGCTGAAGAGCTCAGGGACAGTGCCCAGGCCCAAAGTTCAAACCCCATGACTGACAAAAACAAAATAAAACAAAAAGTAGTTGTGAACCAGGGTGAGTTCCTGGTCAGTGTTGGGTCAGTGTTAAAACTGGACAGGTGTTAATCATTACATACATAAACAAGCTTCCTCAACAAAGACAATACCTTGTAACAAATAGA